GGCACGTGGTTAAGTGCCCCTGGGTTTAATCCCCAGTATCCCCACACTCACACACACACACAAAAAAAAATCCTTATGCTTATTCCAACATCTGTGTCATAGAAAGATTTGCTTCTTTGTGTTAACTGCTTTTTTCCTTAGTTTTGGTTCATAGTTTCAAATTTTTCAGCTGTCTAGTCATTTTTTGTTGTATGCTGATATCATGAATGATATCAGGACTACACTGATTTGAAGAATTTTAAAATACATGCACATTGCAGGGCATGGTGGTTGGTACATGGCTGTTTTTCCAGTGACTCAGGAGGCTTAGGCAGGAGGATTGCAAATTTGAAACCAACCTCAGCAATGTAGTGAGGCCCTCAGGAACTTAGTAAGACCCTATCTCAAAATAAAAAACAAAAGGACTGGGGATGTAGTTAAATGGTAAAGCACCCCTGAGTTCAGTCTCCAGTACTAAAAAAACAAAACAAGGGGCTGGGGTTATGGCTCAGTGGTAGAATGCTCGCCTAGCACATATGAGGCACTGGATTCAAACCTCAGCACCACATAAAAATGAAATAAAGATATAAAAAAAATGTAAGAATACCTGGATTACAATGTCAATTAAAAAAAACAAAAGTGCACATTAAAATATTGCTTTAGTCACAGCGTTCTGCCTTTCTGAGTCAGTGGTTCCTAGGAAATCCCATATTGCTGAGGCATGTGGAGAAGCTTCAGGGGATCCACAGAGCTTCACTCAACCTTGGCAGTGCAGATTGTAGTTAAGAACAAAAAATCTGGAGTCAGATTCCCTGGATCGGAATCCCAGCTATCCCCATTACTAGCTGCCTAAACTTTAGCTCTTTTGGGGTGGTGGGTACCAGGATTGAACTCAGGGGCACTTAACCACTGAGCCACATCCCTTTTATATATTTTATTTAGAGATCGGGTCTCATTAAGTTGCTTTAGGGGCTTGCTCAGTTGCTGAGGCTGGGTTTGAATTTGCCATCCTCCTGCCTTAGCCTCCTAAGCCTCTGAGATTACAGGCACACACAACCATGTCCAGCAACCTTTAGCTCTTTACGTCATCCCTCCCTATGCTTCGATTCCCTTATACAGTGGAGATCATAATCACTACCTCCCTGATAGGATTGAGATGACTAAATACTCATTTTATGTAAAGCCGTTGGGATAGTGCCAGTGCTCAATAAATGTGAGTTCTCAGTTTTGAAAAAGCGAAATTACAGTCCTCTTTAGACCTGTCTCCTGCTGCCCTGTGGCCCCATCGAATGCCCTTCTCACCTGCCCTGTTCAGAGACGCCTCTCACGTGTGTAGACCAGGTGTATGGTTTTCTTCCTTACCCTCTTCTGTAGACTGTGGGCTCCTGGAGCCTGAGGAATAACAGGCAGGGCTCTTCCTTCCTCTTGTCTCCCTGGAAGAAACGTGGAGCGTCACCTATCATCAGAGCTGGTACTTAGACACTGTCCCCATCCACCCCCCCCCCCCCCACTTCATAGACGGGGTAACTGAGGCCCTAACAGGAAGAGGAACATGCCCAAAGCCATGCTTGTGTTACTTCAAACAAACACGCCGACCAATGGGAAGATGGAGATCTTCCAGTCACCTTTGCTTTGGGCTGGAATTATGTCAGCTCTCAGCTTCACACTGTCTTCTCTCTGCTGATCAAATCCACCAACTGTCAATTATCTGTGTCTATCACCAATACAACTTAAGAAAGTTATGACTTAATGCATGCACTTTGCCTTTACACAGCATTTTCCAAACATTCGATGGGGGAGGGTATGATAAAAGGGTCTAATGACGGGTGGTTGGAAGCAGGGGACTCTGAGATGCCTCTTTCTCTACATCTCCCCACTCCTTCCTTCCCCCTTCATACCAATCACCCAAAGGACCTGAGGCTCTTGCATATAGATGGTTAGATAAGGTCATAAACTCCGGAGCCCATCTGCCTGAGTTTGCATCCTGATTCTGCTAAGCAAAAGACCATGGGCCATTTCCATTATCTGTACCTGTTTCCTCATCTGTAACATGGAGAGAGTGATAGCATTTCATTAGACTACAGTGAGAGTCAGAGGTGTTATTGTACATGCAAGGTGCATAGAACATCACCCAGCACCCAGGAAATGCAGGATACATGTTAGCAACCAGCTAGTATAAGTATTATTATTATTCCTGCCTGATTTCCCCAGCCCCCTGGGATTCCAGTAACACCAAATCTTCCAGCTTTGTCTCCATTTGGTACAACAGACTATCAGTCCAGGCCCCGAAATCATCAATCACAGACAGAAAACTGTGAGGCCCTTTGTCTCTGACATCTGAGGAAATGGAGTCGCAGAGAGGAGAAGGGACTTGCCCAAGATCACATGACAATCAGAGTATGAGCTAGAATCCAGAGGCCCAAGTGCCCAGAGAACTTTGTCTTGCAGCTAATCACATTGCTTGCTGACTGTTTTGGGGCTTTGTAGTAGCACTTGATGAATGACACATTTATTTCCTTAAAGCAGTCAGTGGGATTTGGCTTGAAGGGCTGGACCCGCCAGGCACTGCCAAGTGGGTTAAAAGTGAGCTGTCTAACTAGACTGCCCCACCCACCAAGGCAAGAGCCGAGGAGAAGCTGGGTGAGCCTTTGGAGGGTGAAGCTTCTCAATAAACACTCTTGTTAGGACTTCAGTGGGCCAATGTGTTCCTTCTGGTGGACCTGTGGGACATGTCTTGGACCACTGCTGCCCTACCCTGACTGTTTCTGAAAGAGACCTTGCATCCCAGAAGATGACTGCTTCAGCCCACGGCCCTACCCTTTCTGAACCTCTGCACCAGCCTCCCCCACTGTCCCACAGCCTCACATGGAATAATCAAAATTCACTTCTTGTCATCTGTCTCCCTTTAACTCTAATGTACCCTACCCCCAGCCTGGGATTGATGATCCTTCATGACCTTGAATGTATCTGTGTTAATTGACCTTTCATTCCATCCTCTGTAAGCTACAACCAGCTTGCTCACCTCTATCCCTCACATAAGAAGCACTAAATCAATATTCATTGTAGGAAAAGAAGATCCTTAGGGAACTGTCAGTCATTGGGACAGGAAGAGATCACTCCCAACTCTGGGAGCAAGAAGTTAATTAATATTTTTATTGCATAGCATATAATTATGTTTTAGAAAGCAATATCAGTCTCTAAATGCTAGTGTCCTGGGAGATGATCAGTCAGGGCAGCTTCAGGAAGAAGCATGAGAGCTGGGGTCTCATATTGAAGCATGTTGCTTCAAATAAACACGCTGACCAATGGGAAGATGGAGATCTTCCAGTCACCTTTGCTTTGGGCTGGAATCATGACTGCTTCCCAGAGGAAGAAGGGACTGAAGAATTAGGAGGCTCTGCCAGAGTAGGCCAGCTGGGGGGTTTTGCAAGGGGATAGAAGGGGACTTACATATTTCCCAGGTCTCCTGGCCTCAGAAGGAGGCATGTGCTCGCTCTCCAACTGTTGAGGTTTCAAAATCTCATCGATTTAGAAACTACATCCACAGTGGTCATCAAGCCATCCAGGGGCTAAGGCTCTGGATATGGAATTCCTGCTAACCTTGAGGTGGAGACATTTATTGCCAATCTTTACCCACGACAAGCCAATCATGAACACCACTGCTCAGCCCTCCCATTTGTTACCATAATGGGGCAAGATGGAGTGGTTGGATGAGTTTTATGATGGGTAAAGCTAGTGTAAAAGAGGAAGAACAATTTCAGTTTGAGCTCTCCAGGACAGGGGAGAGGTCTGGATTCCTTTGAGGGTGACCCAACCAGGGTGGGTATGATTAAAATAGCTTGGGCTTCTAGAGCCCCAGGGGAATCTGAGGCAGGACGAGTCTCAGAAATGCAGGGATGAGGGCCAGGAGTGGGCTAATACTCAGGTGTCCTGAGTGGCGATAGACAGGGATCACTATGGGATTGGAATTTGTTCAAGGGCCCAATTCCTTTGAAGTAAGGTGCTAGCATTGACCTACCAGCTTCAATCTGGGGGCTCTCCACCAGGGCCACCGAACAACCATCTCCTCTCCCCCTTGCTGCCTCTATGCCCTGCCCCGTGGCCTTAAAATGAGGATTTGAAATTTCCCCCAATGCCATCCTCCCCTCATCTAAACACCCACTCACCTTGGAGGCAGTTTAGGATTTGGAGTTATAGCTCCCAGGTGATAATTAAAGACAAGGTAGATGAGCCCCTCCAAGGGAGACAGGAGCCAAGCACTAGGTCACCCCTAGGGAACTCTGGAGGAGGGGGAGGGGAAGGCAGGGCCACAGGGTGAGAAGGGGCTCTCCCAGGAGCAGAAGTCCTGGTTTTAGAAAGAGCTGAAAAGGGCCGGCTGCTGTCACAAATGTCCTAGACCCTGGAATGGAGAAGGAGGTGGGGGGGTGGCATTAGCCAAGGGCAAGATATGGGGACATTTGTTACCAGAGGTGGGGCAAGATGTAAAGATGCAAATAATAAATAAGGGGTAAAGCTAGTGATGTCTTCTTGGCTTCAGAGCCAGCGGGGGAGACCTGGGTTTAAAACACCAGCTGTGCCTCTTACTGACTATGTAACAGGGAGCAAGTCTAGAGCTCTCTGGGCCTCCATTGCTCCATTTGGAAAATGGGACTACTGATAAAACCTATTATGCAGGCCCTGCAAACCACTTGACCTGCTGTGTGTCCTTGGGAGAGAGAAGTAAAAATGGCACGTGCACAAAATGTTCAGTTTCCCACCCAGCCCCAGAGGCCTGGGGGTGGCTCCCAGGTGAATGGCCCAGTAGACAGAGCAATTTCTTCCAAGGATCGCAGCCAACAAACCACCTCCCTTACGCGCACTGGCAGGTCCCTGTCCTGCTTCCCGTCCCTCTTATGTAAGAGTCACACAGGTGGGCAGCTGGGACCTATGCCATGTGGGTCAGAGGTATCTGGGGCCACACCTTGTTAGCCACCCCAGGGCGGTCTGGGGCGGGTCCCCACTCATGCCCAGCCCCGGAACCTGGGGCACCGCAGCGACTGGCTCCCAGACTTGCCATGGCTTAGCCGTCGAGCAAAGGGATGCCAAGACCAGAGCCTGCCAACCTCGAGGAGGAGGAAGGTGAGCGCCCCGGGACAGCCAGACCCCCCTGGCTCTGCTTCTGCCCTGAGTCTTCTGTGGGGTCTGCAAGCCAGAAATCAGGAGAGAGCTGCCAGAGGCCTGATTTTGAGGTAGTCCATCCAAATCAAAAGGAAGCGGCAGGTGGTGGGGGCCATGGGGTCTGCCATGCGAGGTGACAGGAGGCCAGGGTGAAATCAAGCTTGCAGATGAGGCTGTGGCTATCGGGAATGCTAGCTAGTGCCAGGGCTGGCCCATGTGGCCAGGGCCATAGGATTTGGAGGAGGCACCCCTCCTCTCTTTGGGGCTTTTAGAATAGGGGAAGGTACTTAGGCAGCACCTTCCATTGAGAACTTTCTTTGGCCTTCTAGGACATGGATTCTTTTTTTTACACCCTGTGCAGAGAGGAGAGGATAACAGGCGAGGTAGGGAAGGGTGGTCAGAAGTCTTTGCAAAGCAGGAGTCCTAGAAATTTGATTTATTGGTGAGTGACTGGCCCTCTGGGAGGCCAGAGCCCCAAGGCAGCCACCTCCTGTGAGGTGTACCTTGTTGTCAGCCTGATCCTACAAACCTGTGGGCTTGTGAGGCAGTAAATTACAGCCAGGTGCCAGCCTCAGGAGCAGTGAGTCATGTCCTGAAAGGAGGGCAAGTACCCCTCTCCCAGCCAGGCCTGGGGCCGTGACTCACACAGTGTCTCTATTGCAGGGCGGTTTGGTGGCGCTGGGCCTCTCTGGGGCTCCCGTGGCTCTCCCCGGGGGACGCCGGGGGACACTCTCTGAGGTCCTTGCTCTCTCCCGGGTGAACTTGAGGGCTGCAGCTGCCCCACAGGGATCATGCCAGAGGTGCTTCTGCTCAGGTCTGCCAGCTCCATCCTGAGGACTGTGTAAGAAATAAGGGTCCCTCCTCCCTCCCACCTCCCAGCCCCCACCCTGTCTCCCAGGAGGAGGTTTTGGCATAGCTGCTGGACCTCCAGACTGGGGTTTGGGATTTTTTAACCTCATTCAGTCACCTCCCCATTTCACTGAGAATTTTCTTCTCATTCCTTAAAAAGGTCCATGAGCACCCACCAGTGACCACGAGAGCTCCCTGTGCACTAAACACTTTTAGTTTTCAGGTATCACCTCATCTCCTCAATCTAGTTAGAAAATCAAGGCTCAGAGAGGTGCAGTGACTTGGCCACAGTCACACAGCTAATAAAGTGAGTTGAACTCAGGCAGACAGAGAGACTGGGGTGAATTGCAATCCTAGGTTGTTTCAAGAAGACATTTATTGAGTACCTACTCTATATAGAGCCATAGCGTGGCTGCTGAGGACTGAATGGGAAGAAAGAATAACAAATAAGAAATGGGTCCTCCTCCATAAGCAATTCATATGGAAAATGAGGGGCTCTCCGTGATTTACATGTCACACACAGAGTGATGGCTTGAGAAGGGGTAGGTCCAAATAATATTTACTAAATTCCCACAGCAAGTACTCATAGCCAGAAGACAGAGCAGAGTCGAGAGTGACCCCTGTTTCCAGGAGCATCCAAGCCCAAACCTGAGTGTCCAAGGGCCACGGGGGTGAGAGATTGTTGGGGAAATCTGGGAGGGCTTCCTGAAGGAGGCATTGAAAGAGAGAGGCTGTGTGCATTTGCTCAAGCTTGCCTTTGGATGTTGCTCCAGTGCCCCTGGGGAGGTGCTGAGGAAGCTGGGCTTTGTTCATTTGTTTTTTTTTTGTTTTGTTTTGTTTTGTTTTTTTTTTATTGTTGGCTGTTCAAAACATTACATAGTTCTTGATATATCATATTTCACAATTTGATTCAAGTGGGTTATGAGCTCCCATTTTTACCCCATATACAGATTGCAGAATCACATCAGTTACACATCCATTGATTTACATATTGCCATACTAGTGTCTGTTGTGTTCTGCTGCCTTTCCTATCCTCTACTATCCCCCCTCCCCTCCCCTCCCCTCCCCTCCCCTCTTCTCTCTCTGCTCCCTCTACTGAGATTCGTTTGTCCCCCTTAAATTATTTTTCCCCTTCCCCTCACTTCCTCTTGTATGTACTTTTGTATAACTCTGAGGGTCTCCTTCCATTTCCATGCATTTTCCCTTCTACATCCTGGGAACAAATCTTTACTCCTCACACTTCAGATAGAGCCCTAATATCCAGAGTATACAAAGAACTCAAAAAATTAGACAATAAGAGAACAAACAACCCAATCAACAAATGGGCCAAGGACCTGAACAGACACTTCTCAGAGGAGGACATACAATCAATCAACAAGTACATGAAAAAATGCTCACCATCTCTAGCAGTCAGAGAAATGCAAATCAAAACCACCCTAAGATACCATCTCACTCCAGTTAGATTGGCAGCCATTATGAAGTCAAACAACAACAAGTGCTGGCGAGGATGTGGGGAAAAGGGTACACTTGTACATTGCTGGTGGGACTGCAAATTGGTGCAGCCAATTTGGAAAGCAGTATGGAGATTTCTTGGAAAGCTGGGAATGGAGCCACCATTTGACCCAGCTATTCCCCTTCTTGGTCTATTCCCTAAAGTCCTAAAAAGAGCATGCTACAGGGACACTGCTACATCGATGTTCATAGCAGCACAATTCACAATAGCTAGACTGTGGAACCAACCTAGATGCCCTTCAATGGATGAATGGATAAAAAAAATGTGGCATTTATACACAATGGAGTATTACTCTGCATTAAAAAATGACAAAATCATAGAATTTACAGGGAAATGGATGGCATTAGAGCAGATTATGCTAAGTGAAGCTAGCCAATCCCTAAAAAACAAATGCCAAATGTCTTCTTTGATATAAGGAGAGTAACTAAGAACAGAGTAGGGTCGAAGAGCATGAGAAGAAGATTAACATTAAACAGGGATGAGAGGTGGGAGGGAAAGGGAGAGAGAAGGGAAAATGTTCATTTGTTTTTGTGAGGGTGAGTGGAGGCGCTCCCAGTGCATCCCTGTGTCAGGAATGAGCACAGACCTCGTCCTCACCAAGTGAAAGGGAGCCTTCACCTGCCCTTTCTCAGGGTCTTCTTCTCCCTCCTGGGATTTCAAAACCCAGACAGAAGCAAGTCGGCCTTCTCGGGCCCTTCTCCACCGTTCTTGTCACTTTATTACTTTAGATGGCTTCCTCCTCTGGGACACCTGCCAACTGTGAAGCACCGCATTCCAGGAGGGTATGAGTTTCCAGAATGACAGGAATGAAGTGTTAATCACCTTCCTTGACAGGCTCATTAGGGACCTCAAAGACAGCAGTGTCACCTCGCCTGCTGGGGCCATTTATTAGCCACCTGTCCTTGCAGGGAAATAGCAGCAAGAATCAGGAGAAGGGCCCAAATGCTTTTAAGGAGCCAAAAGACAATAGGGTTTTGAGCAAAACGTGATGGGTTCCTGTCCTACGATCCCAGCGAGCTTCATTTGGTTTCTGCAAGAGGGAGTGGGAGACTGAGGGCTAGAAGCCAGCCAGGGGACAGTGGCAAGAAGTGACTGCTAGAAGTGTCAGAAAGGATTAAAAATTAAAAGAAAGAAAACCAAGCTAGCCTCTGCCAACGTGCCAACGACGACAAGGGAAACTCAGGCAGCTACCGTGCTGGGAAGGGACGATTCCAGCCGTGACGCCATTTGACCCACTTCTGTGGGCCAGGAAGTCAGCTCTGGGTAGAGCCCTGAGATTGCTGCAGGGATGGCCAGCAGGGAGGGCCAGCGCATGCTGATCCCCATGATCTCCCTCAGAGGACCCACCTCAGAGCCACTAGCGGGCGGAGTAAGCTTAATTTTGGGGGGAAAATTAGGTTTCCATTTTCTCTTCATTGGGCACCCCAAATTCTGTAAGCATAAAGAGTTGAATAAGAGCCTCCCTGGGCCAGCCACGAGGGTAAGTGAGCAGTCCCTGTCACACCAAGGACTGGTGGAGGACCAGGGTCCAGTGAGGGAAAAGGCAGAACAGGGTGGCTGGACAAGAACTGTGTCCGAGTGACAGATTTCGGGGCAGTGGGTGCCAGACACCAGGGAAGAGGCCCCCAGGGACAGGGGCACTTCCAGCAGCCTCAACCCTCATAGACTGAAGACTAATCTTTGTGAGCACACTTGGCCCTTGGCTTCCTTAGGTGGTTTTCTTTTCATTTAGTCTTTGTTTAGCTATTTTAAAACCAGAACCACCTTACCCGAAGTTAATTAGGTGGGGGAAATGCTGCCTGTACCTTTAATGGTGAGGGTTTAAAAACACTCTTGTTTGTGAACAGGCAGTTAAGATGGTGGGAGATTACAGTCTCTGCTAATTGGGGGGTGGCCCACCAGCTGGTGATTTCAAAGGCCCATCAGCTCTAAGAACAGGGTTTGTCCTGCTGTTGGGCCCCATCTTTTGAAGACACAGGCTGAGATAGAGCAAGGACATTAACCAAGTTCACAGTGCCTTCCCTGGATGCTCAGCAGGGGACCCCAACCCCCTGGTGTACGGTCCCTGCATTTACCAGGCCACTGCTCAGAGCTCCATGGCTGTTTGTTTGAACATTACAGGGTTCTTTGTCCCTCAGTGAGGACAGCTTGTCCCTGACAACCCTGGAAAGTAGAGGAGGTACCTGATGGTCTAGTCCCATAGCACTCCGAAAACCCCACCTCCCTCTGCCCAGCACAGTGGCCTCGCCCAGAAACATGTCACCCTGTCTCCTCTGCAGCAGGTTGCCATAACAACAGAAGAGCAGCTCCAGCCCTGTGGTCCCAAGAAGGGGGACCAGCTCGGTGCCCCACTCCTTCCCCTGCCCCGGTCTCACCCCCTGCATAACCTCCTGATGTCTTTTGCTTTAAAACCTACCCCAGGTTCTTAAGCAGACTGCTGCCAGGTGGGCCACGGTGTGTTCGGAAACTTAGTTTGCACCTGCAGTACCAGCAAGGAGTAAGGCTGAATGTACAGAGCAGGTAATGGGCCTGGCTTCTTGGGAACTAGTCAGGGATGGGGTTAACCCCACCCTGACACATAGATGGGACTCCCAGGAGCCAGGGACATATTTTCAGAGTTGCTGTGACCGGTTGCACAGATTGCCCGCTGCACAATTCCTGGGTGCTCTGTTTACACACTTGATGACTTTGTAATGTCCCTCCGGGTTGTGCAATCTTACAGCCCTATGGGGTCCTGAGGTGTGTACTAACACATATCTGCTCATCCACCCAGGAGGTGGAGGTGTAGCCAGGTAAACAATAAGGGACAGTGAGGCTGAGATGATAATGGGAGTCTGAGCTGTGCTGGCTAAGAGAAAAGGCCCTTTATCCAGAGCCACCAAGAAAAATATGGGCCAGGGGCAAAGATGAATGGCACTGGGCTCCAGCCTTCCCTGTCTATGCCTGTTCTCTCCATGAGGCGAACAGACATGGGGTGCACTCATAAGCACGACTGAGAAGGTGAGGCCTTCATTTAGGGACCCACTTAGGACCCCCGAGAATCTCAGCAATGTCCTTGGCTCCACTCAGTTTCTAAGCAGGGCTGAGGACTAGTGGGTATTGGGGGGTGAGGGGAGAGTGCCAGACTCCAATGCCTTCCTTGTCCAGATAGGGACACTGAGACTCAGAGAGATGTATGATCTTGCTCAGAGTCACACAGCATGTTAAAGCAGAGTGGGACTTGACTTCTTTTTCTACTGAGCCCTTAGAGCCTATGGGGGGTGGCCGGGGAGAGCAGTGTTAACCTGGCAAGGACTGAAGTCTCCTCCCCTGGCCCCCATCGGGACCCTCTCTTAGATGGTTCCTGGGGGTGCTGAGGTCTGTGCTGGGTCAGAATCTGGAGCCCAGGTCATGCACCATGTTCTAATGACTGTTTCCCCAACCCCCGCCAGCTCCCTGACAGACAGGCAGACGCTCTCCAGAGAGTCACTAAGCCATGATCTTGAGTTCTCCACCCATAAGAAGAGCAAGCATGCCCAGCTGGACTGTCCAGGTGAGCTGGGCGGGGCGGGGCAGGCTGGAGGGAGGTTGGAACTATGCTGGGGTGCTACAGGGGGCTCTGCCGAGCACTGCATAAAACTGGGGGAGGGGCAGGCACAAACCCTGCCATCTCCACATTCCCAGGGACCTCACCAAGCTCTTCCCTCATGGCCACTATTGACACCATCAGAGCCAGGCATGGCGGAAGAGAGTGGGGGAAGAGTTCTTCAGTAAGGTTGGAAAGGAGAGAAGCCAGGGAAGGGGCATAGCCAGAGCTTCCTCCGGGCCAAATCACAGCTGCTGGGGTTGCTGGGGGACATCGAAGCACAGATAAGCAGCACCTTGGGGTTTTTGGCCTGGATAACTGGAGCACAGGGCAATCAGATGGGTGGAGGCTAGCAGGGTTTATTTTGAAGGCTGGAAAGTCACATGCTCTTTTAGTGACCTTCCTCTTAGACATGTGCATCTCAAGGAAGAGAGAGTTATCATTTACCCTGAAAAGTTATTTGAAAGATAATAACAGGAACAATACAGTTTTTGTTCACTTTATTGGCTGCACAACAACATTATAGCAACAACAGCTTTTTTTTTTTTTAAAGAAAGAGTAAGTGCCTAACACAGAGGGTCCCTCCTCCTGCTATTGGTGCTGCCCTGGGACCTTAGCTCTTGCCCCTGGCCTGGGTCACCTCTCAGGGCAGAGTGTTCCCTGTGTTGCTGGACTTCCTGGCTGGGGCAGCTGCAGGCCCGTCTTTAGAGCAGGCAGGCTGACACCCCCACCCCAGGCCGCCTGTCTTTGGGCCTTTAGGTGAAAATTGGCTGCAGAGAAGACAGGTTGCCTGTTGGGTGCCATGTTGGACTGGCATGACTTGTAGAATGTCCTTGCGCTCAGTGTGGCCATTTTCCTCACAGCTAGAGGGCAAATGGCTGAGGGGAGTGGGCAGTAGTGTTTGGAGTGAGCCCAGCTGGAGAAGGGCCAGTTCCAAGGGTCTCTGAACCAGCAGAGTGATGAGGCCAGAACCAGAGGGCCAGGGAAGCAGGGGAGGCATCGGGCCTTTGTTCGAGTCCTCTTTCTTTGGGGTTTCTTCTGACCAGGTTTTCCTGGAACCTGGGATGAGGGCAGAGGACAAGGCCAGGGCCAGGCCTCCTCTGCTATGTCACAGCATCGTCATGGGTTAAAGGACACTGGTCACTATGCTCATTCTCAGCAAGGACACTAAGGTGTACAGAAGTATAATAATGGAGACCCTGGGTCAGGGCTTTGGGCACTCCATTCCCCAGGCCACTAGCCTCCTTGGAGACCAAATGCCAGTCCCCTTGCTCCAGCTGGGTTTGCTGCTACCATCAGGCAAGACGTCCTTCTCCCAGGCTGAGTGTCTCGGGGTGGGCTTGGCTGGTCTGGCTGAGGGGTGAGGTGCCTTCCAGAGGTGGACATTGCCTCTCATGCCCCTCCTCAGAGGTGAAGAAGGAAGTGGTCCTAGGTGGGGACTCCCTGGTTTCAGAGAGTGGTTTGAAAGGCTTAGGAGGAGGCCAGGAATGGGCTCGGCAAGGCCCAGGCAGCCTCAGTGTCCATCTTCCCAGGATGTGTGGGGCACCCCACTGACTTGCTGGCCTCTTCAGACAGCCCCACTGCTGGCTCCAGTCCAGACACCCAAGACTCCCTAATCGCTTCCCTGGGGCACGCAAGGGGCACTTGTCAGTTTCAGGGGATGTGGGCACAGTGAAGCCCTGGGGCTCGGGGAGTGCTGGGTGTGAAGGTAGCACTGGTCTTCTTGTAACTCAAGTGCAGGAAGGGGGCTGATGTGGCAAGCTCAGTGTCCCCTGGAGCCCCTGAAAAGTGCCTGGAGCAGCCCTGGGTGCCTCAGTTGTTCAATTTGAGTCATTGTCACATGACAGATCTGCAGCAATGGCACAGGAGTGGGCAGCTTTTAAACAGAGGGGCTGGAGAGTAGCTGGGCTAGGTTGGGTAGGTCTCTGCAGAGGCAGTGACAGGGCCACCTCAGTCTAGTTTATTGGGACTATAGGAAACTGTCAGGGATGGCCTGGCTAAATGTGCACCAGGACCTCCTCTTGTGTGCTGGGCTTTGGGGACTGCTGAGCTAAACACACCCATTTCTGCCCCTGAAGAACTGCCAGTCTGAGGGCAGGGACAGGCAGAGGAAGGCAGGCCTGTGTTCTGGAAACTGGGGGGTCATGGGGATATCAGGGATGAACAGGATCTCCAGCTGTCCTTGGAACCTTTTGTCCATCTAGGCCTGGGTCTGGGCTGCATGGTCTGCCCTTTGGGTTCAGCATCTGAGGATGGTGCTAAGAAGGAAGGGACAGTCTGGGAGGAACTAACGGGCCTTTGGGTACCATGGCTGTCAACAGGCACTGGGAGCAGAGGGTCCCAGGGGCCCCTAGGTGATGCCCCAGCAGTGCTGAACAGCTCCTGGGCTCCCACAGACCTGGTGTATAGTCACATTCTCCCCAGTCCTCTAATGCAACCCTGGGCGAGGGGAAGGTGCTGGGATGGGGCTGCACAGACTGAATGCCCACTGTGTGCCAGGCCTGGAGTTAGGAGTTCTTTACCTCATCATCTGCCCAGAAGTTCCAGGGCCCTGGGCTCTAGGTGCTGCTGGAGTAGGAGATGGGAGCAGTCACAGGTTGAGAGGGAGCTTGAAGCTGCTCTTTCTCAACGCACTTTTCATAAGATTTAGAAAAGGCAACTTTCCATTTCAAAGACCTGGAGAGGGGCATCTGTAGGATTGGGATAAGGCTGAATGTCCTCTCTTGCAGAACTGACCCTTAGTACGAAGAGCAAACTTTCATTGAACATTCACTATGAGCTGGGCCCTGTGCTAAGGGACTTTCTTAAGTCTTTCATTTTATCTTATTGCAGCTGTGGGGAAGGTACATTGACCATTCATTTGAGAGAGGAAACAGCTCAGAGAGGCTTACTGATTTTCTTTGAGTCACACAGTTTACTAAAAATGGAGCTCTTGCTAGGTTTGGTGGCACACGCCTATAATCCCAGCAGCTCAGGAGGCTGAGACAGGAGGATCATGAGTTCAAAGCCAGCCTCAGCAATTTAGCAAGGTGCTAAGTAACTCAGTGAGACACTGTCTCCAAATAAAATACAAAACAGGGCTGGAATGTGACTAAGTGGTCCATTGCCCCTGAGTTCAATTCCCAGTACTTAACAACAACAACAACAAAAAAAAACTCTTAACTGGCCATCCTGTCTCTTTGGGAACTAGATTGACTGTGTCACGCACCGTATGGCCCCCTCCAGGTCTGGCTAGCTCCTGCTTCCATACTACCTGACTGCTGAGCTGGTGGCCCCTCAGAGGAGCTCCTAGAGTCTTGCCTATAGGAATCAGGGTTCACCTGGAGTCCTTGGAAGCTACCTAGTCTCCTTGAATTCCCAAGAAGCTTGAGGGTCTCTGACTCTGGTCCCCAGGCTAGGCTCCAAGTTGCCCAAACAGCTGTGCTCCCAGGGAGCAGCCCCCATGAGCCAGGCCATGGAGCTACTGGAATCTGACCTCCACACAAAGGCAGCCTTGTGCCAGGTCCTGGGACACATTTCTTTCTAGCCTTTCAAGGCTGAGCATGAACCCAGGCTGAAGAAGGGGAGGGGACCTAGGGAGAGCAACTTCTGGGACCGGAGCTGGTAGAGGTATTGCCCAGGGCCAGCTCTCCACCCCCACTCTCCCTAGGAAATTCCAGCACCCACTAGAGAGCACCGAGCTAAAGACTGGGAAGCTAGATGCTCAGCCCTGCTTGGTCTGCAGCCCAGTAAGGCTCTTGAAGGCCCAGGGATCTTGCTGTGCCTCCCTCTGTCCCTTGCTCCCATCCTCGTCAATGTCCTAAGGGTATAAGTGGTGTCTCGGGCTGGAGCTATGAGCTGGGGAACCAGGAAGGAGCAGAATATTACCTTGTCCTTCGGGAGATCACAGTCTGAGGTTGAGGATCAAGAAGAGGGCTAAGGAACAGAAGGAGGCAAAGGACCATCTGTTGCTTCAGCCTTTGGTGGAGTGGGACTGGAGGAAGGTAGGAAGGACTTCCCAGAAGTGGGAGGAAACAAGGGTAGGTGATTCCTATTCTGTGAAATGGGAATGGGTGGTGATCCATGTCCTGCCAGCCTCTGGGGATCCTTGGAGAGACCTTTCCACAGGGGTCAAGGAACCCACTCTGCCCCTGCCTGGACATTCTTCAGATTCTGCTTGGTGTCTTCCACCCACTGTCCCCTTTTGTGACCCTGCCTGTGCAGGGAAGGTCTGAACTCATCTCCCAGACCTCACTCCTCCCCAGCAGGTGGACAATCAGCCCAGGGCCTCCTCCTAAGTCTTCCTACCACAGGGGTAGCCCAGCCATCTCAGCACCCCAACTCAGTGGTCCAGGCCAGGTTGTGTGGAACCATGGGGGCAGGCCATCAAACCTAGAACAGTGACCTGGAGGGGCTTGTAGAGATTATTTTGTCTATCCTCACTGTAATTCAGATGAGGAGAGAGGCCCGGAGATGGCAAGGATCTGTCTGCTCAGGGTTACTGTAACTGTAGTGGCCCAAACTCAGAGCTCTTGACCCTTCAGCGAGAAGGCAGGGGAGTGGCTGACAGCTGCAAGGTGTTCTCCCACCAAGCACAGAACAAAATCAGCAGCCATTCTGTCAGTACATTCTGTACCACATTGCCAAAGTCCTGACAGTTTGTTCTGTGCCAGGCTTATCCTTATCTTTCATTATGTCCTAAGGTCAGTGTGACTTCTTTGTCTTCTATATTCCCAAGACTGCTTGGCATGGGGCTGTGCCGGTGCCAAAGTTCCTTTGTGGAGAGAGGCCCTCCTAGCCACTGCAGGAGGGGCGGTAGCGTCTGGTGCCTTGAGAGAGCACTCTTGGAGAGAGATCAGTGCGTGGCCAGAGTGCCACCTTGTTCTATCCCTCCATCTGCACAATACACTTCTTTGCTAAAGCTGTTCCCACAGACTACAGAAAACACTACCCCACCCCCAGCCCCCTACTGGCTTCCCTCTCTCTGA